GTCTGCACGATTCTGCTTCTTCCGTGTATTATCTCACTTAATCCTCACCACAAACCTTAAGGTTGGAGGCAATAGTATCCCATCTTACAGATGAGGATGACAAAGCACTGCTGGGTGAAGCTGTCCAGGGCTCCCGTCACATAAACCACATACAGCATTTAGAACCTGGTATGCAGTGAGCACTCAGTCTCTGGTAGCTGCTGTCTTGTTCTTTTTTTTCTTTTTAAATATATTTTTATTGATTTCAAAGAGACAGGGAGAGGGAGAGAGAGATAGAAACACCAATGATGAGAAAGAATCATCCTGCAGGCCCCTAACTGGGGATCGAACCCATTACTCAGGCATGTGCCCTGACCGGGAATCGAACCGCAACCTCCTGGTTCATAGGTCAGCGCTCAACCACTGAGCCACACCGGCTGGGCAGCTGTTGTCATTTTCACTTTTATACCAGAGGACATATTATGGAGCAGGTGAGAACACAGACTCTGGACAGATTCTCTTATACTAACTGTGTGATCTCAGGGAAATTGTTACTCAATCTCAGTTTTCATACCTGTAAAACAGAGAAAATAACAGTGAAGAAATTAGAACAATGCTTGACGCATAGTAAGCATTATGTATTATTACTTCTGAATGTCTGTTTCTTATTCCTTTCTAGTTTAAACTGGTGCCTACAATAAACTACGTACTCATAAGATTAACATTAATTAAGATTAATACCACCCAAGCTTAGGTGGTCAGACCCCATGAGCAAGGCAGTAAAGACATGGAAGTTCCGTTTCCTTATGGAGTTTTTAGAATTTAGCTTTGGCCCTAGATTTTTACTTGCTTAGTAATTCAGAAAATTTGTTGAGTACCTACTAAGTGCCAACAAAGGAAACACTCTGAAGTGACCCCTCTTGGTTTGGAGGTGCTTATAGTCTTTTCAAGGAGACAAACCGAGAAATAATTTTATATTTTTTGTTATTTTGTTGTTGTTAATCCTCATCCGAGGATATTTTTCCATTGATTTTTAGAGAGAGTGGAAGAGAGAGGGAGAGACAGAAACATCGATGTGAGAGAGACACATCAATTGGTTGCCTCCCTCACAGGGACTGAGCCTGCAACTGGGCTATGTACTGGACTCAAACCTGGGACCCTTCAGTCTTCAGGCCCACACTCTATCCACTGAGCCAACCCGGCTAGGGCAAGAAATAATTTTAATAAAATGTGCTGGAGACTCCACTCAGAAAGCGACAGAAGGAGATGACATCTGAGGGGGTGTTAAGGGATGATAGAAGGGAGAGGGTGGGAATGCATTCCAGGCGAGGCAACCTGGGCCGCCTGCAGGAATCTGGCTTGATGCGGACGCAGGAGGGTCCTGCACGGCTGGAGGAGGGTGTTCTGCTGGGGAAGGTGTGGCAGGACAAGGGCCTGGAGATGCAGGCACCTGTGAGATTGAGGAGGGCCTTGCATTCCATACTAAGGAATTAGAATGCCACTCTGCAGGCAATGGGAAGCTTTGCAAAGCTTTTAAGGAGAGAGCAATAGAATTAGATCTGACTTTTTTAAAGAAAAGTCTGCAGGTGATGTGAAGGGGGGATTCTGTAGGAAGTCTCCCAGAAAGAGAGCACTACTGAGTCCCACACAGGAATACCCACAAAAGATCCCCAACATCAGAACCAAGAGAGTGCCCTTGGGAGGAGGAGGGAGGAGCCACTGTTAATTAGGAGCGAGAATCAATAGGACTCCTTGACAGTCTTGTTGGAGTGAAAGGGAGTGGGAGATAAGGACTGCACTCCACAGCCTGGATGGAGGCGGCTGCTTCATCTAAGATAAGCAGGGCAGGAGCAGAACCAGATGTGAGATGAGGATGAAAAAGCACAGCCCTAACCGGTTTCGCTCAGTGGATAGAGCGTTGGCCTGCGGACTGAAAGGTCCCAGGTTCGATTCCGGTCAAGGGCATGTACCTTGGTTGCGGGCACATTCCCCAGTAGGAGGTGTGCAGGAGGCAGCTGATCGATGTTTCTCTCTCATCGATGTTTCTAACTCTCTATCCCTCTCCCTTCCTCTCTGTAAAAAATCAATAAAATATATTTTTTTAAAAAGCACAGTGGGTCAAATTGTGGTGCATCGAGGCTTCTGCAGGGCATGGCAGTGGAGCTGTCTCATAGGCGAGGGGAATAGGGGACCCAAGTTCCGGAGGGAAGTCTGGATAAAGGAATGGATTTGGAAAGCTAAAGGGTAGCTGAAGATGTCCTGGCCTGGGGAGGGACAGAGAGGCTGCGCCCATGCTGTTCCAGCCCCAGTGCCGGGAGGTCACCTTATACAAGATCACAGAGCCATGGGGTTGGGAGATGGAGTCCTGGATAATTAATTACCATGACCCCAAGAGATTTTTCTTAACTGGATGTTTTAGGTTCCTGAATTCCTTAGCTTACTGGAAACAATGAATTTTGTTTATGAATCTCATCCATCAGGTGCTGGAGGCTTCACAGGGAACTGAAATGGAAATAAGAGTGGCTGGTATCAACCAAAAAACATAATTATATGGAATAAGTGTGCACCTGAATGAAAAAACTGGAAATTGCCCTAGACTATCTGATATTTATACACGGACCCTGACTCACAGTTAGTGTATACTAAAGAACTGGTTGCTACTTAAATATCTTTGAGAGAGAGAGAGAGAGAGAGAGAGAGAGAGAGAGAGAGAGACAAGAAAAGGCTAATGCAAATCCTACCTTAGCAGAGTAAGTCTGTCCGACCTAAGTAAAGATTTTGTTGATTTTATAAGGAGTTACCTCTGTTATTGGTGGAGAGAGGTCCTTGTGATGTCCTGAGAAAAGGAATTTTCTGAGACTCACACAGGAGGTATTGTAGAATCAAACCCCTGGTCTCCAAGGTCCCATTTCCCTTTGTTAGACCAAGGGAAGTATAGCTGTGGTTCAATAGACCTAGAATCAAAGTCCGTGTCCAGAATTTTCACTCCATATTGGAGCAGTGTCCAGAACAGAATCAAGCTAGCTTAGTTTGTGTTCCCTGTTGCAGCCCATCAGTCCATTGCATGTGGAGTCTGCACAGACACATGACCAGGGAGGGAACATGGACAAATGCAAAAAAGCAGGAGCAAAATCAAAGGAACCAGAGAGCCAAGAACCAAGAGAGAGCCAAGAAAGCGAGCAACTTTGTTTGGGGGATTATGTATCCCCAAATTTTCACAGGCTTGCAATAGCCCTGCCCATTCTGGCCAATCATCTCTGTTCCCAGATCTGACAGGCACCTTTCCTAGTCACCCCAACTTCACTGCCCATGCGTATATCTCTCCTTTATTGGACCCCTTCCCCCAATGATCTGCAGGGAATGGGCTGGTGGTTCCCTGAGGAGTGTAAAATTTCAGCTTCCTGGTGAAGCTTCCCAAATGACATGCCTTTAATGCCTGGCCTCCCGTTTGCTCCTTTTTGGTTATTAATAACTAGCTAATTACAATGGTATCACATCCTCCCCAGTGCAGTGTCATTTGCTATCCTGTGATAATCAGAAGCTTCAACTCGCTATTACATATGTTTTGGATATCTATGTATATAAAAGCCTAAGCGACCATTCGACCAGTAGCTGTAACGTGCACTACCAGGGGGCAGATGCTCAACGCACATGTATGGAAACATGGAACAGACTGATGAATCTCAGAGGGAAGGGGGGAGGGTGGGAAGAGATTAACAAAGATCTTATATGCATACCAGAGGCCTGGTGCATGGATTCGTGCACCAGTGGGGTCCCTTGGCCTGACCTGTGGGGATGGGGCCGAAACTGGCAGTCCAACATCCCCCCCAAGGGGTCCTGAATTGCAAGAGAGCACAGGCCAGGCCAAGGAACCCCACTAGTGCATGAATCCGTGCACCGGGCCTCTGGTATTATAATAAGAATGATAATTAAGTTTGCTTAATCAATGCACTTTAATTGACAGACATTAGTTTTCAAAAGGTGAAGTCTCTGAGGGTTAAAAAAATAAACAAAACAAAAAAATTAAATGATATCCTGGCTGGAGAAGAGTTTGGGAAACTGCAGACAGTGCTCTGTCCTTACTCACTGTCCTTGTTAGTGAGCTGGGTGCCACCCAGCAGTGTTACTGGCATACCCTGAAGTGACCAAAGGGTCCTGCCTGCTCACACTTCCAAAACTTCTGTAAAAACAGATGCGTGGAAAATTTCCAGTCCTGCCTAGCTGACTCTAATTTATCCTTCGAGAGACTCTAAAAGCCCCCAGGATGGGTGAGGTGTCCTTCCTCTGGGTTCCATTTGCCACATTATTTTGTTATTGCCTGGGCTGGTGTTTTGTTCTCTTTTGTTTTTGGTCTGGTTCTACTACCAGACAGTCAACCCTTTAGCAGAAAACATGACCTTACTTGCCGGAAGCCGGTCCATCCTTGCTGCTTGACACAGTCGCTGCAGGGAAGAAACATCTGCACAGCATATTTTTCAAGGGACCTGGCATATATGGCATACTGTTCTTAATATGTTTGCTCCCCTTCTTGGCGCTATGTGTTTTAACCAAGGTCACCTCTCCGAGAAAGGTTGTTTCCCCAGGTAGGGATTTTTCCCTGAAGTTAGGGAGGGAATAAAACCCCTTAACTAAGTGCCAGGTGGGTAGTTAATCACTTTGACTATGAACAATCATGCTTAAGCTACATAATCTTTACTCCCTGGAATGGAGATAAGAAACGCTCTAACCTTTGGAATAGAAGTTGACAGGATTAAAATCAACTGGTATAAATACAGATGTAACAAGACAATAAAAGACAGAACTTGGCTGGAGATCCTGGCTAGAGAACCTGGCTAGGCTGCTGATCAACTGCTGACACGCTGTCTCCGTGTCATTCCTTCTTTGCCGACTCTGTCCACACCTTTGGGAACCCCTGGACCTGCTGGGGTTGGATTTAACTGGTAGGAGACTGACTTCGGAGACTCTTCTTGGAGACACACTTCAGGGATTCACTCAAAGGAGCAGGCCCCAGAAATCTGCGGCGGGCGCAAGATGGCGACGGCGGCCTTAGTTCTCGGGACAGACTCCATCAAGATGGAGAACGGGCAGAGCACAGCCACAAAGCTGGGGCTGCCTCCTCTGACGCCCGAGCAGCAGGAGGCCCTCCAGAAGGCCAAGAAGTACGCCATGGAGCAGAGCATCAAGAGTGTGCTGGTGAAGCAGACTATCGCGCACCGGCAGCAGCAGCTTACCAACCTGCAGATGGCAGCTCAGCGGCAGCAGACACTGGCCGTCATGTGCCGGGTCTACGTGGGCTCCATCTCCTATGAGCTGGGTGAGGACACCATTCGCCAGGCCTTTGCCCCCTTTGGGCCCATCAAGAGCATTGACATGTCCTGGGACTCCGTCACCATGAAGCACAAGGGTTTTGCCTTTGTGGAGTACGAGGTCCCAGAGGCTGCGCAGCTGGCCTTGGACCAGATGAACTCAGTGATGCTGGGCGGCAGGAACATCAAGGTGGGCAGGCCCAGCAACATAGGGCAGGCCCAGCCCATCATAGAGCAGCTGGCGGAAGAGGCACGTGCCTTCAACCGAATCTATGTGGCTTCTGTGCATCAGGACCTCTCCGATGATGACATCAAGAGCGTGTTTGAGGCCTTTGGCAAGATCAAATCTTGCACGCTGGCCCGGGACCCCACGACAGGCAAGCACAAGGGCCATGGTTTCATTGAGTATGAGAAGGCCCAGTCGTCTCAAGATGCCGTGTCTTCCATGAACCTCTTTGACCTGGGTGGCCAGTATTTGCGGGTGGGCAAGGCTGTCACACCCCCTATGCCCCTGCTTACACCTGCCACACCTGGAGGCCTCCCGCCAGCTGCTGCTGTTGCTGCAGCTGCAGCCACAGCCAAGATTACGGCTCAGGAAGCAGTGGCTGGAGCAGCGGTGTTGGGTACCCTGGCCACCCCTGGACTGGTGTCCCCTGCACTGACTCTGGCCCAGCCCTTGGGAGCTTTACCTCAGGCTGTCATGGCTGCCCAGGCCCCAGGAGTCATCACAGGTGTGACCCCAGCCCAGCCTCCCATTCCTGTCACCATCCCCTCTGTGGGAGTGGTGAACCCCATCCTTGCCAGCCCTCCAACGCTGGGCCTCCTGGAGCCCAAGAAGGAGGAGGAGAAGGAGGAGCTGTTCCCCGAGTCCGAGCGGCTGGAGATGCTGAGTGAGCAGGAGCACATGAACATCTCTGGCAGCAGCGCCCGCCACATGGTCATGCAGAAGCTGCTCCGCAAGCAGGAGTCCACAGTGATGGTTCTGCGCAACATGGTGGACCCCAAGGACATCAATGACGACCTGGAGGGGGAGGTGACCGAGGAGTGCGGCAAGTTCGGGGCCGTCAACCGCGTCATCATCTACCAGGAGAAGCAGGGCGAGGAGGAGGACGCCGAGATCATCGTCAAGATCTTCGTGGAGTTCTCCATGGCCTCCGAGACTCACAAGGCCATCCAGGCCCTCAATGGGCGCTGGTACGCCGGCCGCAAGGTGGTGGCTGAAGTGTACGACCAGGAGCGTTTTGGTAACAGTGACCTCTCCGCGTGACCTTGGCCCCACTCCCTGGACGTGCTCTTGCCCTTGTTTCCCCCAGGTTATTGAGACCATCTCTCTCCCACAAGGAAGAACAGCCATTTTCTCTTTGTTAACTCAGCTACAAACTTACATTCATAAACGAGAAAAGGCTTTCTATATTGGACATATTAGAGCTCATTCCTGCCTACCAGGACCCTTAAGCGAAGGAAATTATCAGGCGGATCTACTAACTCGCCCAGTAGTTTGTACAGCTCTAGAAGAAGCCCGGCGGTCTCATGCCATTCACCATCAAAATGCTTCTGCTCTCCGTCTATATTATCGCATATCTAGAGAAGCTGCTCGAAGTATTGTGCGTGACTGCGGCCATTGTCCTACTCATTTTCCTAGCCCTGCTACTGGAGTTAATCCAAGAGGACTTAGACCCTGTGACTTATGGCAGATGGATATTACTCATGTCCCATCTTTTGGCAAACTTTGCTATGTGCATGTTTGTATTGATACCTTTTCTCATGTTATCCTTGCTTCTGCACGTACAGGAGAAGCCTTTAAAGATGTAAGTCAACATTTATTCCAATGCTTTTCCTACCTAGGAATACCAAGGGCACTTAAAACAGACAATGGGCCTGCCTATACCTCTAGAGCTTTTAAAAACTTATGCTCTACATTCGGCATCGCACATACTACAGGAATACCTTATAAAGGCCAAGCAATAGTAGAAAGGGCTCACCAAACTTTAAAAACACAAATTAAAAAATTACAAGAAAATGAGTTTAAATATTCCTCTCCTCATCATGTTCTACAACATACTCTATTTGTAATTAATATACTAAATGTAGATTCTGAGGGAAATTCCCCGATGTACAGACATTGGAACCCTGATCTAACTAAACCTAAAGTCCTCGTCAAATGGAGAGACTTGCTTACAGGAGCCTGGAAGGGACCTGATGTACTTTTAACCCGGGGGAGAGGATATGCTTGTATATTTCCACAGGACGTTCCAGGAAGGGCACCTCCCTTTTCTGCCGTGAATGGGGGTGTCTGGTATATGCCCCATATGTGGAGTTGTCTTGTGCCAAGAGCCTGACATCTTGGGCTGAGGAAGCCTTGTCCTGGGACTACATGCTGACAGCCGTTCCTCCTTTGTTCTGTATTAGCCCCTCTTGCCCTTGTGTCAAGAGGGACCCTCTTCTCACAGTCCATTTGCCCACAGCTGTTGCCTAGGCTTTCTGTTCATGCTGAGATTGAGGCCTGGTGGTGGCCGGTGCCTTGGATCTGTCTCTCGCCCAATGGTGTGAGCTGGGCCCTCCCTGGAGAAGAAACCTGGGTTCCCCAAGATATGTGACCAAGCCAGGGCCCTGCCAGCAGGCGAGGGGAGCCCAAGGCAGGTGCTGGGCGTGGAGGCCACGGGGGCATAGGCTACCAAGGAGACAGAACTGAACCTCTTGCAGGGGGGCGCTGCACCTCCCTCATTCACACACCTCACATCACCCTGCTTGGCCCCGGAGGATGGCTGGTTAGCCAGAGACAGGTAAGATTCCTCAGGGTAGGAACAACCTAAGACAGGCACAGTCGCAGAGGGGCCATCAGGAGACAACTTGGGGGTCAACAGAGGTGGGGCACAGACCCTCACCCCCCCAACTTTGCAGAGGCCTGAACCCTCACCCCTTCTGAGGGAGGTCTCCTGCCCCCATGGCTGCTTCGCTTCCCA